GTTTCAAAATTGGTATCAAAATAGAGTGCTTCAGTGGGAGGGGTATTTCCCCTGTTCCCCAAATCCTGTTTATTATATCTAACATAACCCTTTTAGTTTCTTTAGGAAAGTTTTCATACACCTCATAAGGAATGTTATCTTGACCAGGGGCAGTCCGCTTTTTTGACTGTACTGCCTTTTCTAATTCAATGAGTAAAAAGGGTTCATTGATAACACTCTCCTGAATATTCATGCTATTCTTTACTAAAGCTAAATACTGTTCATTTACCCTATCTTCTCTCATTCCTAAAGATTGAAAGTAGCGTCCAAAAACATCCACCTTTTCATCCTCCCGAGTTATTTCTTTGTCATTTTCTGTCAATGATGACATATTTTTTGACCTCGCACCTGGAACACCATTTAGTCGTTTTATGCAGGTCCAGATTTTTGACTCAGGCATGTAACGGTCCAGTTTCGTGCAAAACGCTTGCCAATATTTTTGTTCTGCTTGGCGGAGAACTCGTTGTGCCATTTTTTTCTTGTTACTATAATCATCTATATTCTCCAGCGTTATCATTCTACCTTTAGAGAGCTTGTTACTCGCTTTATTTCTTTCTTTAATTTTAGCAGAACATTCTTTTGTCCACCATGGGACCGGGTTTTGTTTCTTTTTACTCTTTTGGGGAACAGCTTCCTTTATAACTTCTTTTAGGTACTCCATAAATTGGGTGTACATTTCCTTTACATTTGTGTTTTTTAATGTAATCTGTCCATTTAATACTTCTTCACATTTCTTTGCAAAGTTAGACCAGCTTATATTCTTAAAAGAAAAAGGCTTTTCTACCACATTTCCATTAGGCATACCTGCATTTGCTCTATGCGGATCTGTACTTTTTTCGAGAGACACTTGGAGAGAGATTGGGAAGTGGTCACTACCAAAAGTACTCCGCATGACTCCCCATGTAGACTTACACGCCAAAGAAGGAGATGTGATACTTAGATCCAGACATGATGTTTTCCCCGTTCGTGGGTCTAATCTGGTCCCCTCTCCATTGTTCAAAATAATCAAACTGTTCTTATTCAAAAAATGTTCTATTACTTCACCGTTTTTGTCTGTTTTCTCGCTGCCCCATAAAACATTGTGAGCATTAAAATCTCCCATTATAAGGACGTTTTCATTGTTAGATACATTTTCCATTAACTTATTCATAATATTTTCATTCAGTTTATTACAAGGGTTATAATAATTAATGATTGACAATTTTTTCCCCCCTATGTAAACATTCATTTGTTGTAATTCTAAGTTTGCATCTGTGAAAGGACCCTCATACTTAATCCTATCATGAACATATATAGCACAGCCTCCTCTAATATTATTTTGTCTGTTTCTAGGAAAGCATGTATATTCTGGAATATTCAAAATAATGTTATTATGAAACCAGGTCTCCTGTATGCAAATAATATCATATTTAAAATCCTTGTGTAAGTTTAAATAATTTAATAATTCATTGCCGTGCCCTAAGAGTCCCTGGGCGTTCCAGTGTATAATGGAAAGTGACATGAGTAAATTAATCACTATCATTTGTTCTATCATATGTACTATTTTGTTGCAGCGCCCTTTTGGCTGCGACGCAAACAAGAGTATTCAATTCTTTTTCAGTTCTACCTTCTGTGAATTTAAAAATTAGTTGGCAAATAAAATCTATAATTTGTTCATCACTAGCCGAGGCTATGAAGTTGGTCATAGGTGGAGTGCCTTGTGGTGTTTCATTTGACGTTCCTTGATTATTAATGGTCTCTTTACTCTGTGGTACCTGAGGAATAACCTGGTTTTGAAATTGTGGGGTGGTGTTTGCTCTGGTCAGGAATGACGGAACAGCTGCTTGTGCGTAGGTACTATTAGGTTTACCAACATTCCGCACTGGAAGTTCGTTTGTTTGTTTTTCTGTTTCCTTACTCAATGTTTTGTTGGCTTTATTTTTCTGTTGAATAGGCTGTGGATTTGATACCTTTTTGTTTTGTTGCTGCCAGGACTGAGCTGCTTCTGCGTACGATAGCCCCTTTTCATACCGTATCTGTTGAACCTGCTTTGCCTTTTTTGCTTGTGCGCAGCCGCTGTAGGCTGCAGAGTGGTTTTCCCCGCAATTTACGCACTTTCGTTCTTCTTTTTTTTTACAGTCATCGAACGAGTGGTTTTCTCCACATCTGACGCATCTTTTATTGGAATTACATTGTGAAGCATTGTGTCCGAATCTTTGGCATTGATAACATCTAATTACAGGTGGGACATATTGTTTTACGCGCTTGATTTGGAAACATAAGTGGATTTCAGGGGGGATAGTGACTTTACTGAAGGTTAGAATAACGCAGCGCATGGGAATTTGAGAGATTTGGCGCTTTCCTTCTATTGTTTCATCTGTTCGGACTCTTTTTACCATCCTCTTCACCCCAATCACATTCTGAGTTTTCAATTCATTAAGAATTTCCTCTTCCTTCATTTCCTGTGGGATGTCATAAATGACTCCCTTTGATCCATTCACTCCTTCACTGACTTTTACATCAACACTTCCTATTTTGTTAATCTCTGAGATAGCCTTCACCTGCTTAGTATTTTTACACTTGATTAAGAGTCCCGTATTAGTGGTTTTGATAAAATCTACAGGGTTCACGCAAACTTCCCGAATTGCCTTGGCTATTTGTATGGGATTTACTTTGTTCAAAGATTTTGTCCTATCTATTGGGGTTATGAAAATGTTAAAGCCCTTTGGGTTTGGGTTTGGGGAAGTGGTGTGGAAAGTGGTGTTCGAAGAGTATGATTCTGAGGCGTGTTTTAAGTTCTCTATATTAGTAGAGCTTCTCCCACGTTGCCTTTTTGCAGGATTCCTGTTTTGCACAGTTTGAAAAACCATTTCATCCTCGCTCATCATGGATCTTTCCGGCTCGGAGGCGTGAGCCGCCATGATTGGCTTTCGAAAAAAGGCGCGAAATTTGAATAGCGCGTATCGTGCAGCTAACCACAATGAAATGAAATGAAATGAAATGAAAAGCCCACAGTGTTTGCTTACCTCAGTACGAAAAATTCCTATTCCAAAAGTGGTCACATAAATCCAAAACAAAAAACTTCAAAAAGAACAACCCAATTTCCATATGAGAAACAAAGTCAAAGATATAATCCAAGAGTCTAAAAGTACTGTATCTTTGAAAAGCAAATGGAAAATGACCATGTATGGTATCTTTCACCTAGAAATTATAGAATAACACCTATGTCTTTACATATAGTTATACAATTTCTTAAACATCATGCTAAGCAAACAAACTAATCAAGGTTAAGTATTCCTTATTCAACAAGCAAGATAAAACACAAAAATCCATTATCTCGTATAGTACATGGAAAATATCTTTCTCTTTATGAAATGTATGAAATTAACCTTCCTTCCAGATAATTACAAATAAGGTAACACATTTATTTCTGTAACTTACAGTTCAGATGTTCAAACAATGATTCAAGATGAGGCGAGGACTGATGAGGCTTCTACCACGTCGGCCTGTGCTGCCTGGTTCTTGCCTGGCCCCATAGTATAGGGAAAGTCTATGCCAACAGCAGCATGCTTACAGCCTGTGGTTGTAACTTTTACCTTCGTGGCCAACACCCCTCATTCACTCCCAAAATCAGACCAAGTTCTGAAAGGTCTGCTCCTCTCGAGATCTGCAATCTGATTAAACTACCCTAAATCTCTAATCCACTTTGGCTCTCTCAATAGTAACCTCCTTAACATTCTTTGTATTCCTCTCATGCCAAAACTGTCCATCCAAATTCCTTTTACTGAATCCTCTATACAAAATTTTCCCATTAACATTCTCCTCATCCTTTCCACACACACAGACAAAGACAGACACCTGCTCTACTAGAGACCCAAGTTAGTTGACCTAGTAAGTTGCTACCAACAACATCTATTCGGCTAACACCTGTCCATTACATTCTCTGTCTAAAAAAGAAATCCCAGTCACATTGTGACAATCCTATTCTTCCATGGGGTCCAAAAGCAAACAAAGTAATTTACATAGTAATTTACAAATGCACTAATCCCATTATCGACCCCCCACTCACCTCACCACCACCTCCCGCCACCCTCTCGATCCCGCCAACTCCTCCCACTAGCCCTTTTCAAGTACTCCAGGGTATATTACAAAGATCAATAAACATTTTAATTTACAATCATAAATTGGTATGAATGTTACCTAAAAACATATTTCTCTGTCATAACTTTTCAAACTAAACTTTTTATAACTAACGTTATTCATATAATCGTAATGATAAATTATAAGAAAGTATTATAAACATGCAAAATGATGGGCAATCAAATTGTTTCGAAAGAGTCCATCTACTTTGTAGTATGAATTCTACCGTCTTTCCTCTCCAATGCTTGCTGACGTCACAGAGGAAATCATCTCGTATTCGAGTTGAAGGGCTGCCAAATGCTGACGTTTCTGATTCAAAAGAAGTTTAAACAAAACCGTGTCAGATTCATCATGCCAAGAAGTAACTGAAATCAAATAATGGTGATCTCTCATTTTGAAAGATAAAACGAAACTCACCGTTTTCTTTAAATTATAAATGACAGCATTCAACTAGTTTGATATTTGGTGATCACTGAGAATAGATGTGTATATAGCAGAAGAAATATAAAGATAAACAATTATGATGATTGAGCTAATAAAAATCCCCCAAAGAGTCCCCTTTCTTTTCTTCTTGTTATTATATATATATATATTTCTCTATGATGGGGGGGGGGGGGGGATGGGTGGAGTGCTTGTCAGAAATTTTTGACAGATAAACGCCCAACTAAAATAAAATAATTCTTTTCTACTTATCGCCTTTCTCTTTTTTTCCCTATTATTTTTCATTTATCAGAGACTTATCTCCATTGTATTTGAGATAGCCATTATCAGGCCTTTATACACTGTATGATGTTTTTATCGGACATTTTGAGGCCCCTATTCCCCCACCCCCGCCATTGTATTTACTTCACATTCCCATCTATTACCTTTACCAATTCCTCCATCAGTTTCTTAACCCCATCATCGGCAGAATGAAAGTGAAATGAATGTGAAGATGACTTAGGTCTAGCAGACGACGTCTCGGTTTTCTTCATCATGTCACGGTTGCCAAGGGTACAGGAGCAGAGTGGCCGAATCTAAATAAAACGCAACAACAGAGCAATAACTGATGCTAACCAGATATGTAGTGTGTTATTAAGGTGGGGCAGGTCACTCGTTTCATATTTAATGAATATTTATTTATCCCTGGTATTTGTAGGCCTATTGAGTAAAATATAACTTTACCGTCAGCGGCAGTTTCTGGCCATTTCATAGAATTACAACTTCAATTATGATTAAACCCGAAACAACATTTAACAAAATATAAACATATAATTTTTAGTTCATGGGATACAAGGTATCCTTCTTGAAATAAACGTTGTCTTTTTGCGATTAATTTCTAGTTGGTTTTGATTATTAAAACTGTCTTTGTCAACATCTTTACCTTGGGTACAAATACCAGACACAACACGGTGGTGTTAGCAAAGAGAACCGCACAGCTAAAGATGATGAAACGGCGATCGACTTGGTACATGAACAGGTAGCTCGTGGGGACGGCTACCGCCAATGTCACCGCCACCGTATACACGGAGAAGGCGATGTATTTACCTAGGATCGGAGATAAAATGGTAAAGCCGATAATAAACAGGGCCGAGAATGATAATGCATTACAGTGACGATAATGCCGGTACGGCCAACAATGAGAAAAGTGCCGATAATATCAACATTTCCGTTATTGCTGATAATGCCAAAAGAGACGAAAATGCCGAGTTTTCATGCTCCTTGAAGTTACCGGAAAAGAATACATTAACAGCAGATTAATACAGGATTATAACTTAAATTAAGGTACTGTTGGTACTATTTTATTTTGTATGATGCCATGGACATATATTTTTTTTTAAAGGCCACGCAATCCTCTGACGCATTTATACGTCAGAAAAATGACGCCTCGTTTGAGTAAAAAAGGGCATAAAGTGCACTTACTGTCATTCAAATCGGAGACGGCGACATCTCGAGTTTCCCAAGCAAGAAAAATGCCGAACATTACAAGGATGCCTTTGATACCGAACATGATGATCAGAAAGAAGATTTGATTGGTAGATTCGCACATTCGAACAGTCGGTTCAAAATAAATCTCTTGCCTCGGATCAGTCATGTCCAGCTATGACAATGGGAAAAATAGTTAAGATTTTGGTTCACTCGTTCGTTTGCTTTTGGTTCATACTTGGCATAGCCTACTACGTCTTATCTGGAACACATATTCGTTCGAAAAAAATCTACCAAATGCCAAGTTCAATACTCTTTTATTCCTCCCGTAAAAATCATTTTCGTATATAGTAACGCGTTATTGTAAAGTGTCGGGTCCATTTTACCCGACACTTTCTGCAAAAATTATACCAAAGTCGCATCTCGATCTTCACTGTCTTACTGTATGGGCATGTTATCACAATTGTATATGTAAAAGGATTAAACTTATTTCAAGGACCTTTTTTGAGAATTTGTTTGATTATTTGAATTAAGTTTACTTTACCTTTCGTGAATACAAATATTTTCACAAATATCGTGTATCCGGCCTACAATGTAAAGTAATTGACTTTCTAGTGAACATGGGGAAAGAACCGAAGAACCGATGAAACGAAGTAACCCGCCCGAATGGCCGGTAAATGGCGCACGGGAAGGCGCAGTGGAACAAACCGAAGGCCTCGTGCGCAGCTTACCTGGGCGTCAAGACAGTGTGACGTCACATGAACGTCATCAAGCACCACTCGGAACATGATAATACTAATGTCAGCGAACACCAATGCAAAGACGCCAAGGATGAGCTTAGAATCGGGTAAGTTCTGCAAAATATGAACAAAATGATAAAACAGTCATTGCTAGTACAATGATATCAATGATTACGGTAAAAAGGTGTTAACAGGACATCTATATTTCACCCTAAATGGTACATTAACCGGTCATCGTAAAAAAAAACTGTGATATTACCGTAACGCCCTCCCTATTACTAACCCTAAATTCAAAACAATATAACTAATTAAACTAATGACTTATGATTAAACCTATTATTTCTTGGTAAGCCTTTAAGTTTCCTCTGCCTGCAAACGTACGTAGAGGGCAGTAATTATATCGTTCAATCGTTAACAGGACACGCAAATGTCCTGCTAATGATCATGTCTACTCAATAACTCATTTTTTTCACCACATAATAAGGTATATAATCAGTGTTAGGTTCCAACTAGTTCATCGTAAGGAACATGGTATGATATGAACACCATTTGAATGAATCCTTTTGAACGTGATTTTATTTCTCTCTTTGTTCCTTTGTCCATTCATATGTGCGCACATGGCCTCCATAGCTCCCCCACGGAGACTCACCGCAATGAGATAGCGCGGTCTATCGTAGCACCCCCTATTTTCTAGCGCGCGCTAGACCGCGCTATCTCTGCGGTTTGGAAGGTACAACGTCGTTTCGGTCTGCCCAACAGTGAGCCACGGCGAGCCAAAACGGCGTGCCACTGGAGCAACTCTTGGGGGTGGTCCCCGAGAGATAGCGCGGTCAAGCGCGCGTTAGAAAAAAGGGGGTGCTACGATAGACCGCGCTATCTCATTGTGGTGTGAACAGCCTCTTAGTTGTGTCTTTAGAAACACCTCGTGTGCGTTGTCTGAAAGAAATTGTATAAAAAGCTCACAATCTTCTGGAGTCTTTCCACCGCTTTTTTGAAGATTGCATGGATGCGATACGTCTTACCGAAGAGAGCCCCCAGCGACAGAGAAATGCCAACACTGATGAGGCCAGTTTGAACCTACAGAGAGATTGATAAAAGACTTATTAGGAATAAGATAACGAAAAAAAAAAATATATAGGGCCCATATACGAACCTAAGAATATATAAATGACTTCATGGGAAAAGAATTCGACAAAAGATATCTTTGACGTAGAATAGAATTAGAGAAAGATTGAGGTAAAAGAGGAAAGAGGAGAGAGATGTGGTAAAAGAGATAGAGTGGGTGTGTGAGTGTGTGTTAAAGAGAGAGAGAGAGAGAGAGAGAATGAGTGAGTGAGATGGAGAGAGGGGTGAAAAGGGAGGGGTTGGACAAGAGAAAGAAAGCTATAAAAAGAACATGAAGATAATGATGCTGATGAAGAAGAAGAAATGAAGAAACAGATGATGATCATCATGATGGTAGAGGATGGAATCGGCTACGAGGATTTCAGGAAAAAATGAATTGGAAGAAGAAGAAATAGAAAAGACAACCGGTCCTCGTGGTTGATAACAAGTAGGATATTGAAAATATTGAAAAAAGGGTTCATGATGATAGGGGAGATGACAATGAGTAGTTATTATTTCTCTTCTCTTCCTTCATGTTTGCTATGATCCCTTCTTTTCCTTTTTTTCTGAGCGCATAGGTACTTTAATTTATTGTTGTGATATGTGCTATATCAGAATGGTTTATTATTATTATTAATGATGACGGTGGTGATTCAGATTGTGATGATGGTGATGGTGATGATGATGGTGATGGTGGTGATGATGATGATGATGGTGATGATGATGATAATGATGATGGTGGTGGTAATGATGATGATGATGACGATGATATTAAAGATGGTAATGAATATGATGATGGTGATGATGATGACGTTGATTATGAGGGTGATGGTACTGACGATGATAATGATGATGATAGGGATAATGGTTGTGGTGATGATGATGGCGGTGGAGGTGGTGGTGATGGTGATGATACTTGTGGTGATGATGAATATTAAGGTGTTAAAAAAGATGCGAGGGAAGAATAGGCTAATGGAGGAGAATAGAAGGGGATTGCTTCTGTGGGCATCAATAAAGTTACAATAAGTTTTCTTTAATTTGAGATTATGATGACGAGTGTGTTTACGTACGTGACAAAGAACGACGATTTTGGGCTCACTGTAAGACGACTTGTCAAGCCCAGGAATGATGATAGCTGCATAGAGCATCAGACAACCGAAAACGATCAGGTTGTTGAGTGTCGGACTTGATATCTTGATCGTTCTAAATTAAAAAATTGGATACTGAAATCACATCGTACTGTAAAAAGAAAAAGAATGCTTGATATAATCATAGACCACTGATGTATTACCAAAATGTGAGAATTTTTTAAAGATAAATCAATAAATCAATACTGTTTAGGCCTAACTGTAGTCGAAGTGAATATAACACTCCAAATGTTTTCATAAATGAAAGAGAAAGAGAAACAATAAAAAAATCATATGGAAAACGGTAAAAATTAAAATCGTTCAATTTTGTGCTTCAGAAACTTCTGAAAACCTTGGGATAGACCATAGTTATGATGAAAACCGCATGTGAAGCATATTACACTTAACTTCATCATACGAAAAGCGCCGCCGTTTTACCTCGTTGTTTCTGATCGGGGGACCTTAGCAGTAAGAGTCCTCTGCCAATAATGATGAATGTGAGTTGAGACAAAATGTTCTGAAATGTAGTAATTTGCGCCAGCTTCTGTGGAAAGGACATATGCTTGCGCTTTTAATGCTTGCGCTTTTAATGATTGGCCGTCACACCCTACTTCGAAGGGGTTGCGTCTGTGAAAAGAGATGCAAATGACGCTGCGTGTACGATGAGCATAAGGGGGGGGGGGGGATTTTCCTTTCACAAACCTGTACTCCCTGTAATGAACATTGAGTGAGAAGAAGATGAGGGATAAAACTATCCCCACACCAGACAGCGAGTAGAAGATAATCCGAACAGTCGAAGAAACTGTCTCATCAATCGGTTGGTATGTGATTCCATCAACAGGGCGCTTGCCATCTACAAAGATACACAGTCTGTTTTATGAGCAAATATCGACAATGATGAATTCCAAATTACAATTTTAAAAAAAATCCTTAATATGGGGTTCCCTATTAACATAACCATATCCTTTCATCATTGTTTTCCTTTTGAGAATTTTCTATTTTCATTATTTTCATCAATTTCATTTTTATAGATTCCGTCTTCTTTTAATTTTTTATTTCATCACTTTTTTTTCGTTCATCTCAATTTCTCCTCGCCAGATTTATTACGTGCTTCATTTTTCTCTCCCCTTTTTCTTCTCCTTCTTATTCTTCGCGTCTACTCTTAGCATTTCAATTTATCTTATCCCGATTTATTCATTTATTTATTCTTCTCATTATTTGCATGTCCCAAAGCCGATTTCATCACTTGCTTCCCTTCATCCTGTTCCCTTTGTCCTTCTTTTTTCCTTCTTTTTCTTTTTCTTCTTCTTCTTCTTCTCCTTCTCTTTAATTTCTTTTTAACTCTATCTCAATGATCTTCCTCCTTAAATTGTTTTCCTTTCTTATCTCATAATTTCCCTTATTTCTTATGCATTCTCCTTAAAATCTACTCGACTTTTCTTAAGGCTCCTCATATTTGACAGTGTTTTCATATTCCCTGCCGTATCTATGCTTCTCCCGAAACACCTCGCCATTTACTGTATATTATACTTCATCTACCCGTATTGTTTTGTTACACTTTAGTTTCTATGATTTGCTTTTAATGTAAATGTGGAACAAATTAAATCAAACTTCAAATAAGTCCGACATTACCTGCCCATCTGATCGATCTATTCTCCACCGAATGCAATGTTCCATTCTTATCCGAATAATTCAGGATCCTAAATACCGTCGACCCTGTCAAGGTATCAGGATATAAAGATACAATTTCCTTGTCAGTGAACGCAACTTTAAAGCTCGATAAGATATGACGCGGTAAACCGCCGCAAAAAAAAAAGCGGCCGCGTTTTTGTTAACGTATAAATAAATGGCAACTGCGCGCAACAAAGGTTCGTACAAGTATAGACGTTATTACACTTTACGTCATAATAAGAAAGAAAAACATCACCGCGGTTTACCCCCTCATAGATAAACGAGGCTTTACTCAATTTCTGAATGAAAGTGAGCATAATTAAGCAGATATTTGTATTTACATCCCAGAAAATTGGTCTCTGCGTAACTTTTATTTACCTGTTTATACGAATGAAATGTCAACTTCAGCGCAGCGTAGATTTTCAAGTTTTTAGCAAAATAATGATGATGCTAATTTTGATGATGACGATGATAATATTAATAGAAATAATAACGCTAATAATTAAAACAATGGTACTACTACTACTACTACTCCTACTCCTACTACTACTAATCCTACTAAACAACATGAGAATCATCATAATAAATGATAATAATAACAACAACAACATTGATGATGATAAGAAGATGAACGAGAAGAAGAAGAAGGAGAAAAAGAAAAAGGAGAAAAAGAAGAAGAAGAAAAAGGAGAAGAAGAAAAGTTTTGATATTAATTATAATAATCGTAAGTAAATATTTTAAAAATAATTTTAAAAAGGCCAACAATATAACTTAAGTCAATGTATTTATCCTGTTTTCACTTTTTCAAGGAAATTTGGAAGATGAAGTAAAATGGAAATGTCAGAAAACTGAAGGTGATTAAAAGGTCAACGATTTGAAGCTCGCTTACCAATGAACTGCTCAACATTGACTGGTGAATTCCTGATTCCCTCCCGTTCAATCTCTACCTTGTCCTGGGAAATAAAGTAAAAATAGATCAGGGATATTATTTACAATTGAAAGCAATTTGAACGTTTCTTCATATCGTACATACGTTCCGGTAGTTTTACGAATACATGTGTACTTTTATGAGTATTAAACATTACCGTTCAACAAAGTGATTCGAATTATATTGTAAGAGAAAATGTATGTAATAATAATGATTAATAGAGAACCATTGTTTGAAATAATTGATTTACAAAATATTTATAGAACAATGACATGTCGTTAGAAATCATGATAGCTATACAGATGATGACACAACGACGGAAGGCCCTATTTCATATCAATTTCATACCCCTCCTCCCAAAAAAAGCTTAAGATAATATTGAAACAAACTTGATTTGTATTAAATCTGGCATGAGGCATGAAACATTTCACAAACGCAACGCGTCGTGAAGGCCCATATTAATATTATTGTCACCGTTAAACCAACGAACGATATTTTCCCCGCATGCTTAAAGAAGATTTCCGCCATATCTGTGTCGCTGTAAGTAAAGTCATCCAGTCTTGTGGGTCTCAGTTTATCTCCATCACTGTAACCAGGCAGTTGTTCCACATCAGCTATAGATGAGTTTAGTATAAGCGCCATGGTAATGAGGTTGTCATAGGCATAGATGTCACGGGAATTATCGTCCATCTCATGCAGTGCGCGTAAGTATTCCAGGTGATGAGGTAGTGGTTTCTGAGTGTGAACAAATAATATCATTGCTTTAAACTATAAAGAACTGAAGATACGACGTTTTTTCTTAGATGTTCAGTGTTATTGTGTTCTACTACGATTTTCTTGTCTCCCTTTCACTTCTTCTATTTCTCCAAAATCTGTTAATCGTCTCGTTCTCCATCATAACAGTCTTGTATTCCTTCACTTTACTCTTCTTTACTATCATTGCCTTAATAAGTTTCTTATTTCTTCTCTATATTTTCCTTTCTTTCTCGTCTCCTTCTGTTTTTTTCACTTTCTACCTCTTCATCATGCAACTCGCCTTTTTGCATTTCTTCTGCATTTCTTCTACCTTCTTTTACAAATTTTCTATTTATTCCAATACAATTTGTTTTATTTCCTCATAATTATTATAGATCGTTTGACTGATTAAAATCTATTTTGGAATGAATTTCTTTCTCCTTCTTATTCCCCCATTTACGAAATCTGACTTACGACGCCATTAAAGCTGATCTCCTCGACATCGGAAACAAACTGATCTCCATCGAACCCAATGTGATATTGCAGCATCATTTCCATCTCCTCGGAAGTACATGGAACTATTTCCGGGTCAGGATTTCTCCACCATCCGCTCTCAAACCATCCGGGTATGATCCAGACGAACTTTGACCCGTATAGACCTTGTTGAAAGATCTACATGGGTGCCAAGAGTTTATTAAATTTAATATTAAAAGGTCGCCGAAAGTAATAGCGTAATAAAGTAATAGATCATCTTTAGAGTAGGGCCTATAAAATGTGCTGAACGAAAATTGCAACATATTTTCCTTCGTTTTATTCCTTTTACTCATCCTATTATTATTATTATTTTTATTATTTTATTTGGCAAATCAAGTCACATAATACAACAATATAACAAACATGAATTGAGATTAAAAAAATCAATAGAAAGCATATATAAATATTGCAATAGCAGGTGCATCCGGTCGAGCTGCCCGTGTATGGAAAAAGTTAACCAAATAACTGTTATCCGCAGACCTTCCTCCCCACACCCGACTAGATGCACCTGATATTGGTTAAAATAAAGCTTTAAAAAGAAAAGATAGATGAGAAGAAAATGGAGGAAAGAGGGAGAAAAAAAAAAGGAAAAAAAACATTGCATGACAATTTTTTTTAAAGTTGTGATTTCATGACAGGTATGGTAACATATTATTACTGTTAATCATTAACACCATCATCACGTTGTAAAACATAAATATAATATCATTATCATTATCGTTATTAACATTATTACTACTACCGTTACTATCGTTTTTTAAAAAGTTGTGATTTCATGAAAGGTATAGTAACATATTATTACTGTTAATCATCAACACCATCATCACGTTGTAAAAAATAAATATAATATCATTATCATTATCGTTATTAACATTATTACTACTACCGTTACTATCATGATTATTATGATTATTATAATTTGTATCATTGACATCAATATTTATATTAAAACATCAACAACAAAATTAATTTTCATTGAGAATACAATTTCAACAACAACCAGTCTCGAAGCTATTGCACGATCATAATATGTACAGATAAAGGTAAGCCCTATATCATGTTTATGAAAATATTAAGATTCAGTAATACAATTTTGGAATGGTTTGGAATGGTTAAAATGGACTGTGTATTGTTTCAAATAAATATCATTATTGTTTCATATTATATAATGAAAAATGGAACAAAAATTATACGGTATACATCACAGGTGGTTATTATGTGAATCATTTATAGAATTGAAGGATTATTTATATTCTATAAATGACTATAAACAGCAGCAATTAAACAACTAGCAATAAGAAAGCATAAACAGCATTAAAAGATCACACTGTTACAAATATGTATAAGCATATTCGTCATTATTATTAACATCACTTATATTATTGTTATTGCAATCATTATTATTGCTACGATTATATCATATAACTTTTACAATCATTATTAATATTAAAGGAATATAATGTATAATACAACATGAATAAATATGGAATCATATATATATATATATACAGATTTACAAGCCAGAGTTCAACACCTTCAATTATATAATTTCATCTTTTACTCCGGAATAAATGATGTGTAAATCTAAGAACAATGGCTTATCAGGGTAACCACAATGCATGTTCATTACAGACTGCCACTGAAACTGAACTTATTACTCGCATATCCTTTTTAGAATAAGCAAAGAATACAGACATACTAAACAGAGTAAATTATTGAACGTACAGATTTCGAATTAAATTATTAGAACACTAATCTATGTAATTTTCTTGCACTTGGTGGCGGCTGTGGATATCACTCATGCAAAACTTACTCTCTTAAAAAAAAGAGTGAATTTTCACTCTATTTTTCACTTTCTTGGAAGTGACGTCCGTGATCACTTGTTTAGGAGTGAAAATCGATTGATTTTAGAGTGCTCTCTAAGAAGAAAAAAGTGAATGTTCACTCTATTTTCACTCTATTTTCACTCTCCAGAGGAGTGACGTCCGTGATCACTCGATTTTTTTTAGAGAGTAATCCAGGTCTTAATGAAGAAATTCGACTGTTTACACATTAATTACCTTGCAGAAAACAATGAGAGCCTGATCGGGCAGAAATCCAGCGAATATAACTCGAGCATCGTGTCGCTGTCCAAAGAAAACATCCATAAAATGAAATAGATTGTATCAGAAGGTGACCGGGCTAAAGGAATGACTACCCGCCCCCGGCAACACCCGGGCTAAATAGTATGCCCAAGGATAACCATTATAACAATATTCCGTTTCTGTAATCAAATCATTATGATAATGTCTTAATGCGATACCAAAGCGCTTTTGGAAATGAATACCCCGGTTGTAGTTGTGGGAGCCATTATCAAGGACTCATCCTCTAAGTTAACCATTTACTACACCTGTGTAGCGCGCGCTGGACGAATGGTCCGCGCATGCACCGCGTTCTCAACAGAGGTGGTCACACATAGATGACGCACGGACCGCGCATTGGAAATCGGAAAAGGCCGTATATTTCGAAATCTTAAATTCATTCGACCATACCAGTAGATCCTGACACATGCCGCACCCCCCCCCCCCGGATCCGTCCACTCGCATCAATGAAGTCGACACGTACCTTCAGATTTTCTAGCTGGGTTTCTGGATTTTTAATATCGATCACAGCTTCAGTAGCGAGAACAATGACATCGGCTTGATGGAGTAGTAGTGTCAGCTGCTTCGTGTTCTATGACCGCCATCAAAAGAAATAATGCAGGCATTATATGGAAAGAACAAACCAAAAGATATCCGCAATATGAAAATCTAAGAATATTCATGTAGGCCTATATTTAAGAAATATCAAATAAATAAAGAATCAAAAGAAAACTAAATTCAAAATGTTCTATATTTCTATTTAACTCTGGCATGAATAACTTGAGTGACCTGTTGGACTTACCAGTATAACAGGTCGATGCGATAAGCCCATTGTTAAGGTTTAAACCCTAATTATCAAGTCCCTCAGTGATGATTTAAAGCATTTGGTTCAATAAATCGCCACCTCACCGCTGGAAGGACTTTGGCGTTTCCTTTTCGCATTTTCGCATTTTGACTTAACGACAAGCATGTACTTGTTTTTCTTATCGCTAAGCAGTCAGTTGAAATCAATCAACAAGTCATCCAATTACCTCTCTGAAGTAGTCTGTGTCCTCAAAGATGATGGCTACTCTAGTCCATCCCATCGCCTTGATGAAAGCCGTCCTGGCTGGGTTGAGAAGGTCTTCATCACCTGAGATCCGGACCGTTAGGGGGTAACGGGTGCGGTCATTCAAGGTGCTAGAACCAGCAGTCACAACCTAGGGGTGTCAAACAATAGTCGCTTTCTGGAACAATACAATCTTGACTTTGCATGTTTTTAGGTCTATCACATACATACTCCAAGAAAATGCAAACTTAGGCTCACATATTGTTACGAAATAAACTCCAGGCCAAGGGTGTTGATATGTATCCGTGGTTGCGGGGGATGATAGGTGCCAAAATATTTTCGGCAATGGATCAAAGCAACCAAAGTGGTAGAAGCGTGTGGCAAGTTGCACCCCTCCCAAGCGCGTAGCCAGGATTTAGGGGGCGGTAGTGAGCACGCGAAGCGCGGTTCCTAGGGTGTTGGGTGCAGGGAGGGGAGTCCCCCCCCCCCCCGCGCAAAGCGCGGAAGCTTTGACGTTTCACTAAATTATTAGAGAAAGAAGACGATTCGATGTACCATTCTCGACTCTTAATCCTTGTTTGAATTAAGTTCCTCTTCCTCCGCGCGTAGCGCGGAAGCTCTGACCTTTCGTTAGATTATTAAAGAAAGAAGACGATTCTATGTACCATTCTCGACTCTTAATCCTTGTTTGAATCAAGTTCCCCTTCCCCCGCGCGTAGCGCGAAAGCTCTGGTGTTTCATTAGATTATTAAAGAAAGAAGACGATTCTATGTACCATTCTCGACTCTTAATCCTTGTCTGAATTCATTTTTTCCCATTCCTGCGCGAAGCGCGGAAGCTTTCACATTTTATTACATTATTAGAGAAAGAAGACGATTTGTTGTATCGTGTCCTTCATGAATTCAGTTTTCCCAGCTTTAATGTTTTAATAAATTATTACTCTTAATCCTTGTCTGTATTAATTTTCGCCCAATCCGCGCGTAGCGCGGAAGCTTTCACGTTTCATTAAATTATTAGTAAAAGAAGACGATTAGTTGTATCGTGTACTTTGACGTTTCATTTGATTATTACTCTTAATCCACGTCTGAATTCAGTTGCCCCCCTAACAGCTTTACCCTGTTCGCTAAATTATTAGAGAAAGAAGACGATTCGTTGTACTGTTCTCTGTATTAATCCTTGTCTGAATTCAGTTTCACCACTGAAAATAAGTTGTGTCACAAATAAGTTGTGACATAATAATCTTTCTCCAAAAATTAAAAATATTTTAGGAAATATCAGGAAATAAAATGAGTGAAAAAATAAAAATAACGATACAATGACGTGAATTTTAAAAAGGGTGAACGGAAACAACATAACAACTAGTGAACTGTTTTATATGTCATACCAATGTCCGAAATTTTTTTTTTCTTGTCTCCGATCTCATCGCGAAATCGTCACAGAGTTCATCTATGTTTACACCGTCCAGGATTTTCCGATGTGCATTGCAGATTGCTACTTTTATGCTTCGCGCTTAACATTTAGCTCGTTGCTTTTGATGCTGCGTCTTTGCATTTGGTGCACTGCATTTCTATGATGCTGTTGATTGAACAAATTGAATAAATTCATCAATTCCTGATGAAGCCGTATGAGCAAGAATTCAATTTATTCTTGTCTCATATACGGTTGTCTTATTTACTTCGTATATATGTATGTATTAAGAAAATGAGATAGCAAAATGTGTTTATTGATGGTCATCTTGCGAGTAATAACTACTCCCATCGGACTCTCATCATTAATTTTTCTCTTCATTTTTAAAATGTTGTTATGGTGAATTATTGGGGGGGGGGGGGGATGATTGTACAGGCCATCCCCCCACCTGAAATATTGGGGGGGGGGGGATTTATCCCCACATCCCCCCCCCCGGATCGACACCCATGCTCCAGGCGCACCGAAAAGACGAACCGCAAACTTGCACTAACCGCAACATGAATAATACAGACCATTACCGTAACTCCGGCCCGAACACTAAACCTACACCTGACCTGAATTCGAATTCGACGGGCCCGCCCCTGGACTTTAAAAAAAAAATTAAAAGTAAGTGCACACCCCCCCCCCCCCCCCATTGAGCAAAAAACGGTCTGTGCGATTTTCAAATTTCCGTTGGCAAAAACGAAAACAGAATTATGCTCACTACCCCCCCCCCCCCCCTCACGAAATATTGGTCGGCGCGATTTTCAAATTTTAGCCCCCCACCCCCCCCCCCCTATCGGCAAATCCTGGATCCGCCGCTGCACTGACCTAATCTGTTTGAAAATGATAATAGTTATAAAAAGCCTGGACCGAAATTTTGTCGCTGGAGCATTTAGTCGCATCACCATCGGGACTCGTTGCTCCTACAACATGCATGAGATGTGCTAAATAATCCTAAGTGTTATTCTTTATATCGGCTCTGTATTATTACCTGAACGATGTTGTACTCGGGAGCGATTTCGTTGACCACGGTGGCTACGGAAGAGAACATCGGTCCCCAAGTCATCAAGACAGGCGGACCAGAGGATACGAAGTCGTGTAGGAGACGGAGCGCGTTGGCCGGACTTCCCTTTTGATTATGAAGAAAGTATAATTACAGTTGTCATTTAGAAAAGGCTGCATCATTAACCAATGTATACTATTGAATAATGAAAATATTTGATGTATTTATCATGTGTAAAAACAAAATGCTTGTGCATGGTTGTATCATGTAATTATTGTTTCAGTATGTGTGATGATGATTATGTCATAGAGATATCATTTGGTCTAAAGATTGTAAATGAAATCAAAATCGAATTGAAATAAGTATTGCAATTCATATTAATTAACTTTGTATCCTTTATCCTTTCTAGTATTCTAGTTTTTCTTAAAGCTAACCAGGGTATGTTAAAATTTTATTCAAATGACCAAATATCGCAAATTCGGAACGGACTTGTAACCATGACAACGAAACATTGTCTTACCATGGTCCAATTCCAGCGCATGCGTAATTCATAATCATCGAGGATTCCTGGTAACTCATTCACGTGGTCAATGGCCGTTTGGACTGTTCTGGGTAAAAGCTCGTGGGCCCAATGGCCCTCGATCGGAAAGAAACCGCCAACATAAATCGGGATTTTCGATATAGTCATTGACTCCGCTAACGCACTGGACGTCGATGTCGAGGTTGGTGCTGAGGTTGATGGTGATGGCGTGGAGAACGCAGATATGAGTATGGATGAAGAAAGGCAGGCGAGGAGAGGGATGACAGCTCCTATTGACTTTGGAATCCGCATCTTGGACAAGAAAAATGCCTGTTATTTTGGGGGCCTTATGATCTATAAAAAAAAAAAATCGTTAGCCAAGAATACAGTAAACAAATCTATATTCTTTTTAAAGTAAATATAAAGAAAAGAAATTCAATGTACAACAGCGTTTTGAGTGAGGGTTGACACAAAATTTGCCGGCCAATTTTAGGGAATGGTATGCACATTTTCCGACAGATATGTTGCACCCTAATCTATGTCCGACCCCCCCCCCCCTTCCCAGAGTAACACAATGACGTTTACGACCACGTCAACATTTCAAAAGTTGCTTTAAGCAATACGATCTAATCGGTGGAAATGCGACCTCACAAATTGTAATTTCCTTCCTCACTCTCTCGAAAATAAGTCTTCGGACCATCACACACAAACTGAAAAGTATTGTGCCCCTCCACGTAAAAATAACATCTTGGCAATCGTCACTCATAATTTACTTTCTAGGTGCCCTTTTTTGCCGAAAAAAGCTCTTTTGGTTGATGCACCCCCGCTTTGAAAGATGTTCCGCCGCCCCTGTGGTGATACATTGTATAGCCATATCAATTTAGCATTATTACTACTATTGCAGCTTTTATGTTATACAACTGTTTTATCATACACTGTAAAAAAGAATTTGTTCATTGGTAATTTTTACGTATTTTTTCCATGTAGAATTTACTTGAAAACATTAGTTTTGCCATTTACGCACTAAATTTAAGTCTTGCTAACTCAAACTTTCAATTTATTAGAACATACGTGGAATATTTAAGTAAAATCAAATACATAAGAATTTTAAGTAATTTCAGCTTGTATTAATTTAGTAATTTTAACTCAAAATCAGAAATTATACGTATTACTCAAACAATTTATGTTGATTATTCTTATCTTTTTAAAGTAAGGACCGATGCAGTGCGTAATAGAAATATTTACATAATTTATGAATATTCATTAAGACAAAATTAAACTCTTTTTTAAATAAAACAATTCTTTTTTGTGGTTGAATGAAAATTTAAGGACTTTCAAACATTTACTAATTCATTTAACATGGCTAAGCAAAGACAAGACAATTTTTAATTGTTACCCAGTTCAAAACAAATCAAAACTTGATATTTCAGGAAATTGTCAACCAATTTTCCTTTTAAGATGCTACGATCAAGTATATATAAAATTTGGACCCTTTCAATATGTGTCGAATTGAAGCGTATGTAATAGTTTGTGATGGTGGTAGATATATATATATATATATATATACGGTTAAATCTTAAATAGAAGTAGTGAATGATTAGTGGATGTTACTTGTTAGATTAGATGGGTACCAAATCGTGCAATATGTAAACCTATCATAGCTTTTTTTTTAATTATCTAAAATGATTACAATACTTAAATTATTTACGTTAATGTAACTCGATTTAACTGAGTAAAAATTCATTCAGCAAAATAAGTAAATTCTACTTAAGATGCCGTAGGTAATATTTACTTAATAAAAATAAGGCAATTCTTTTCCTCAATTTTATTGAGTTATTTCGACTATTATTTTTTTACAGTGTAGTGTATGTGAAAAAAGGGTTCAAATGTGTTTTAAATAACGCGTACAACAAAAATCGTATATAAGCGGAATCATTTAGAGAGATAATAAAGGTAAATGACTGCATCAATTTACATTTTTATTACTACTGTTTTTTCCATCATACTCGAAATTATTTTTACATGGATAACTTTTTTATTTTTATTGTTTATGTATTACGAACTCCTGCAAAACGGCATAACGAGTGAAACAAAATATATGTTATTTGCGTGATTTTATTGACAAGCTGGAGAGGACACCAAACTCAAAAGAATTAATACTCCATAAATATTAATTTTTAAAAATTGAGGAAAGAGGAGGCACTTACCATTCCTTTTAGCAGCAGCAAACGTCCAAAAGTGAGCAGTACAAAGTAAAATCTCCTCCTTAAGTAGATGCAGCTATAATACATAAATTTCAAGTCTGCCCAAGGTGTTGCTGCGACAGACTACACTATTGCCCATCAAGGTGGAAAGATTGTCCTTATATCTTCTCATAACTCTAATATTAATCAAAAGAGTAATTATCAATTCAATCAATCAAAAGAGTCATAGAGATTGATCAATAAGGCTTTGAGTAAAAACTGCATAAATCTTATTTAGCTATCAAGAATAAGTCTTGTTTTCACAACCGCTTCGTGAAAATGAAAACAAAAATACAAAAATGATTCCAAATTTATGAGCAACTATGTAAATCCACACGATGAGGCCTTCCCAGCCTGAACTTAATGTGTTTATTTTGTCGAGTTGATGACTCTTCTGATGTGAGAAAGATTACCACAAAGTGCTTTGTAAACAGCTAGGGGCAAGCCAAGGTGAAATTGGTATGACATTTCATATCCAGCGCTGTGCATGTGGCGTCCAAACGTCCGCACATTGATTGAAGTAAGTGCGCGTGGGTATACGTGTGTGTGACATGATTGTGCGTTGCGACATGCGTGTGCGTGTGCGTGTGCGTGCGTAGATTTGTGTGTGCATGGCTGGTTGAACCGTTTGGGGGTTAAAGGGGGTGGATCGCCAGTTTCCATGTGCAGAAGGCCATAATTCGCTGACACCAAACTTGGTGGAAATACCATTAATGGGGGTACAAATTTGCACACAGCAAACCCATAGTCCAGTCAAGAATTACCCCCTAATCTCTCGGAGAGCTCGAGAGTCTTCGGGCAATTCAAAGCATTACATAAGGTCCAATGGTCATAAAACTCTAGGCTAACCCTGGTGATTGACAACACCTGTTATTGGGTAAACACCCGAACGGTGTCGAATTCCCCATGAGAGCCGACTACTCAGTGACTTTAAACCACAGGGTTGAATGTTTGCGTGTGTGTGGAGGGTAGTTTAAGTTGGGAGGAGGGTAGAGTTAATTTAGCATTGTTACAATTTTGTGAAGGGTTTGGGACAAATTTGTATATTTTTTGATAGATTTCATTCTCTTACTTTTTTTAAGCCCTCAGTATATATTGAAATCTGTCATTCGTTATCAATATTTTTCACTGCTCTTATGGTTGAATGTTATTATCATCATTATCAAATGTCATTATGCATTAATGTATGAATTGACTAATCGAAAGCAACAGTGCTTATAAAATTCATTTACTCCTTTCCGTTACTGTATAATCATATTTTATAATTATTATATTCAAGTGGATTATAATTAAATGTCGAATGGAATCGAATAGAGATCACGGGAAAAGATGTGTGTCGGGCAGGGGGCACTTTTCTCCATGACCAGAGTGCCTTGTTTACTTTTAATGATACCATCAGTGGCGTCTTGTGGATCCCGCCTTTAAAGATCAGCGGGTGTAAGAATGATTTAGCAAATGAGTGCCACATTCAGATTTCTTTCGAATGCTGACCTTCCCAAAAGAGATGGTTACACTGCATCATGTTGAGTCGCAAAAAAGAGAAAGAAAAGCAACGCGGATCGTAACCCATTTAAGACGCTAGGCCTATATACCGTGAGTATAAGAAACTACACAATTTGAAATTAAAAATATGGGAGAGGGTCTATTCAATTGGATGGCACTAAAAGTATTGACACTATCATACAGTTGGGTGGGCACTTGCTAATTTCGAAAAACTCACGAAAATTGGTTTGCGCAAAATTGTTTCAGCCTCGGTTTGGATCAGAGTGAAAATCAGGCAGTTATTGCAAAGGTTCTGTTGACTATCAACAGAACTAAACCCTATACCTAGCTGTGCATACCCTTGCAGTGACGTATCCAGAAAATGATAAAAGAGATGGACGGCATCCTCCCAAGACAGGGGTTCAGTTAATGTATCTGGGCAGCCCTTTTCTTGTACCTCTATAGCAATTTTCATTGATTTTTTTCCCTGACCCTTTTAGGAGAAGCTGTATGCTAGCTTCAACCAATGCAGGATTCTTCACTGTCCCATCATCACCACCACCATCTCAATTAGTGCAGGTGATATCTTTGCAGCACAGATCATGTGCATCAGTGCCCGTTTTTCTCCGGATAGTGTTGAAATGATTGAATGCAGGGACAGAAAGGGACCCTAACAATTTATATGTTTTCTTCTTTCATTTGTTTTAAAAGTCCCAAGATCACAGAGACAAGGTGTTGGATGGTGAATTATAAATTCAGAAAAGGAAACATATTTATTGATAAAGGTATTTTTTTTTCTTCAATTAAACATGAATGTGAAAATTGAAACATGCCTTTTACACTAAAAGCAACGCAAGTTGAAAATTAGATAGAAGAGATAGGACGAACACTGGAAATAAATTACTTATTTAAAAATCAGTTTTTATCTTTCTTTTATGAAAATTTAATAATTTCTTTACATTTTCTATATTGCATTACATTCTGACGAAAATGGAAGTTCGAAGCAGAAAAGACAATAATCTGCAATGATATGTACGTGTGCGTGGACGCGCGAGTGTGCGTGTTTGTGTTAGGGGGTAGGGGCTCGAAGATCATCTGATGACTCATTCATTTTTATTGATAGATATAATTGATGCATAATATGCATTTTGCTTTAACTTAAAACTAAACATTTTTGAGCAAACAAAATTGTTTGTGACTTTTCCGAAATTAGCCAGTGATTAACCACCTGGGCCTCATCATCATCATCAACTTCAGGTGGCGCTGTAAAGTGATGCTGTTGTCTTCACGAGAGGACGCCATGCAACTCTTTCACCTGCCATTTGTGTTGCACCTTTCATTCCTTGTCCAGACACTTTCTTGATATCAGTCCAAGATATTGGTGGACGACCTCTACCCCGTTTTTCTCGACTGCTCCTTGCAGTATTTGCTTCTCAACACCTTCAGATCTCCTAACAATGTGCCCAAAATAGTTTAGTTTTCTTTCCATGATTCCCCTTCTGATGGTCAAGTCTGTTCCAATCTTTTCCAGGACCCACACGTTTGTCTTTTTATCTTTCCATGACACCTTCAACAGCCTCCTGTAGC